CCGCTGTCGCAGGGAGAGTGAAGCTGCTGGAAGAAACAACAGGGAGCCCCTTTGTATCACCTGAACAACCAGACTTCAAAGCAGCTTGACCAAATCGGAGGGTGCCTCGTTGCTTATCGTGAATATTACACCGGCATGAATTACTACAAGTATACTGGTGAGTTTTATCTTGTTTCTGTTCGTATGCTAGTACCCTGGCCTGGAGTTCTCGTTAGCAAATTCCTATTCCCTGGCGTTTTCTAAACATTCCGTGTAGGACTGAATACGTGATCAAGTATTCCGATTTGGGTAAATGTGGAATTTGGACATGTATTTTATTAAAAAAATTCTTTTCCAAATAGAGCGTTTGTAGAGAAATGGTTGCCCAAATACAACAAAATTTATTCTGCAGTTCTACAACTAACTTGTACTGAAATCCAGTCGAAGTAAAAATGATTCTTCATGACAGTTGGGGTCAATGAAATCTGATCCAGGCATAACGAATGGTGACGCCTGCCACCCCGGGAACGAATGCCCATTTGGTGGGGGATACCAAAGTACTCGAAAGTAGTGCGTGTTTCAATGTGGCATGGAAGTTTTATATGATCTCTGGTCAATGCAACATACAATAGCCATCATGAATTGCAGGCCTCGAACGCAACTCCGACCAGAATTGGCAGTTCCCTAAGTTAGATGCTTTATAATTCCATGGCCCCAGCTGTAGTTATAGAGGGTTTTTTGCACATTATTCTTATAGTCGATAGGTTTATACTGATGGCCACAAACAACGGCAGTTCAAACTTCACTGATGTGTTCATGAGCTGAGAGATTTCTCTCCACTATTTCTGTTGTGCACACAGGTTTGTCCAATATGCATTGACCGTATTGGGTATGGTACCTGCTCTGAGAAGGGAATCGCTGGAGCCACAGTCCAACTATACAGGCTTTCAAGAAACAGAGAGGAGCCATCTTTGCAAGCTGATACCTGATGTGTACCGACAGAATTCTCGCGAGATACCTTACAGACTACGCCTGGTGTATACTTCATAGTACTCCTTCGACTACTGTCTAGAATCAAGTCGACTGAAGCAAGTTCAAACAACTCTGGCTTCAAACGAGCCGTCGATTAGACAAACAAAACATTCTCTCATATACTAGAGCACTCTGACAACTCACGACCTATTCCTAACGATTGCCACCGCTTATAAATATGTAGAGTACTGATTGGAATGTGCTCACAATCTCAACAATCCAGTGCTATAATTATTTGAACTATGTGTTCCTTCCATAAATGTTGTATCCACATATAATCCACAGTGCTGCAAAGTTTCAGAGTTCTCAGGGTGTCAAACAAAATTATTTCAAATACAGTGAAATAGTTCGTGGACATTATAGCGTAACTTGTAGTTCCCTGGTCCTTTTCTTTGCTATAAATTAATCCTTTGCTCTCTAGCCACCGGTGAGTCCAACAGTGAAATTGTTAGTTCATATGTATGTGGGTATGTGGGGGGGGGGGGGGGGTGAACATATTTCTAACGGGACCTGCAACTGTAATACCACAGTACAGTAGATAGCAAATATGTAGAAAACAGAAATGCATGTTCCCATCATTGTACATGGACGGGCGCAGCAGGCCGAAGCTATCAGCCAGAACAGGATTTACAATCGCCTAGAGATACTTGAACTTTTCCGGTATTCTCCGTGAGCTGTCCCATTCCACAATGGTTCATGCCACCATTATTTCTGGTAGTATCCATGTGCATAATTCCAAGAACATCTCGGATTCTTCAACAATTTGTGCCACGGCAAAAGACAACGCTTGACTCGGTCACTGGGGCTGTCAAACTTCACATCACAAATGAACTTCAATTTCTCATCTGGTTCAAGTATATGTACTGCCATGACTTGACCATGTTTCATCCACAGCTGGGCGAAGATTGTGGCGTTGAATTCCATAGCGCACCTTCTTGCTGCCATGCAGGAATATGTTGAGAGAAGTGAACATATTTTTACTAAAAAAACAACAGCCACTGAAGAGGATAGCATTAGCAATAGCCTTGGGTGAATTTCCTGCAGGTACACGTTGTTGGTAGGTCTACTGGTCGGTCTCCATATCGTCAAGTTCAGAAATCACCTGTACTACACATCTTGTAGAAGGGATCCTGATCGAAAAATTTTCTGATCATAAAATTCACTAAACTGAGGGCGAGACAAATAGTCAGTACTCCCCGATTCCGTCTAGCTGCTTTGATCAAGTGATGCTAACAAGCTCCCCGTTGTTACTTCCAGCAGCTTCACTTTCCCTGCGACAGCGGCTATCAACCTTTCTGTCCATCGTCGACAATTATCACAGATTCAACATTCTACATTTGTCAGCACTGCACTGGGTGAATATGTCTCGAGACGAATTTAGCGGATCAACAACGCTTTGCTGGAGATAAATTCTCCTCTGGAGGACCTTCAGGGTACCTGGAAGGGTATAGAAGACGGGATCGCTCACGACGTTGAGAGAACATAGAAAACAACCTCCTCTTCGATTGAAAATTGGCCAAAAAGTATGTGAAATGTATGTGCGCAGATGCATTTCCACTGGCAAGCTAATCCCTCATTACGTCATCAGCGCTCGCTCGGCCGAAATTCAAAAGTCGTCTTCCTGCTCGACTCGATCGCTTCTGGAGACTCGTTCTTGTTCGAGGGGTCTTCTCTTTCACCAACCTTCGTCTTGGCATCGAAAACTCGGCGTCGAAAATGAAGCCGGAGTGCCCCTTTAAAGCATGTGACTCGGCTGGTGAGACAGCGCCAGGTACATGTGTACCCGGCTCCGACCTGGTTGAATTTTTAACGGCCTCTTTTACGGGCAAAATAAAGTCATGTAGACGTGAAAAAATTGAGATACCATGAAAGGTAAAATAGATACCCGGTTGAAATGGTTGGGCCAGGTACACGTGTACCCGGCTGTCCTACAATCCTCCTTTTTTTGTGTAGTGGACACCTGGCCATGGCTCTGTACATTTGCATGCACAATAAAAAAAAACATTTTTGCGGTCGGGTGAAAAAAGACGGTCGGTCGGGTGACCCGAAACAACGAATTAAGGGTGCGTTCTTAAATCCTCTCGGAAAAGTTGGAGACTCTCCGAAAAGTTCGAGAGCTGTTCTTATATCCTCTCCGAATTTTAGGAGGCTCTCCAAAGCTCACGAGCTATGGTAAAGCTAGACTTGGGTGGAGAGCAAAGGATTATTATAAGAAGAAGACCAAGGAACTATAAGTTACGCTATACCAAGAGTACATGTACTCTTGGCTATACCGGTCAACTAACACCACCAGTATTTTACAATCAGCTCATGCGATAACATTGCACGACACTGACCAACTATAATCATGTTATTTCTAACTTAGAACATTCCATTTCCAAGCTGGAAGCTAGGCTGTTGGAGTGCGCATCCAGGATGTGCTAGAGCTGATTGCCAGTTAGGTGTAGAACGTCAGTACCGCTGGTCAGTGTCGCAATGTTATCGCATGAGCTGATTGTAAAGTACTGGTGCTGGTGGTGTTAGTGGACATCATAGCTGAACTTGTAGCTCCTTGATCTATTCATTGCTATCAGGTTCGGCCTCATTTTCTCTTGTGCTGCGCCGATGAGTCCACAAAGGACGAAACAGTTCTGTCCGCAGACTGAGTCCTCACTTTTCTTCTTATAAATATGCTAAAGCTGTATGATGTACAACGTGTACATTGTATGTCTGGCGTAGCCGATTAGTATGTTGCGTATATCACATAATGGGTGAGGCAGGTCAAGGCCAGCATAGTAGTGAGGGCCCCGATCGAGCGCACTCTTTGTTGATAATTTTTAAATTAAAAAAATAAATAAAACACTCCCAGTCCGAACAGAGATTGTGATGCCTAACAGGTTACACAGGGCATACATGTACTTCGAAATACATTTTGGACTAGAGGTACCCGTAGTGAAGCGCATTTGCCCATATCCGGGCACATGTGTAAGCAAACCCTCACATAAAAGTGCATGGGCGCATGCGTGTGACCAATCAACCTACAATCACGAATATGAACTGTGCTCACAACCACATGCTACTGGCTAGTTGCTTCCTGCATGGTTTTGCCGTGCGGGCTATGTGCTACGTATACAAGTGCAGCTGTAATGCACTGTACTGTGTGAATGCGCAAGATCCAATGCTCTTCCATCCGCCAACTCTGTAGCCGTATCTTCGCAGTGCATGTTTGATGTGCTGCTGTTGCTTCTCGTTGGGATTTATTCGGTGGTGGTGATGTGTGGGTACAAGCCAGTGTGGAGTGTCATTTCTAGCCACCTAGATCACCGATGCATCACATGCTACAGTATGGTCCCAGCACCAAAAGTATCACGCTGAAACATGTACAGATCAACAAGGAGTAACGCAAAATCCGTACAACCTTGACTCACTGCACTTGGAAAAAAGGATGAAATCAATATCACGTTGCACGTTGTAGCGTACATTCAAGAATGAAGCAGAGCAACACAATGCTGGCATTTAGGAGCTAAATCAGCTGCACTATGCTTCCACAACAATGACAACAGGCGCACACAGCACTGGCAGCGCATGACAAGACAATTTCTCGTGCAAATGAGTACATTGCCGTCATTAGCACAGCCAGACTGTTTGAAGCACTCAAACAAGCATGTGCCCATACGAGCACGCTATTAAATCTTACCAGCAGCCACTATTGACGTTGATGAAGAGCTCCCGCCAGGCAACTGCATCGTCATTGTTCCACAGGATTGTAGCAGGTGTGTATGCGTGTGTGCTGTAATATGCAGCACGCTGTTCGCATTTTTAGCATTACCAATACGACAGTGGCAACGTCCACAGTCTCACTGCCATCCTTGTAGCATTGGCATTAGACACGGCTCTCGGGCAGGAAAGATCCATGGCTCACCTGGTGTAACTGCACGAGTGCGTGTGGCACCCTGTGAAAGCGTCTCTGTGATCGAGTGCACACTGGATGTGGTCCTACAGCCCAATAGCTAACTTGGCAGAAACTTGGCTCTCAGTGTAGCAGACAGCTCCTGAATCTCGGCGTCAACAGCTTCATACTGTTTCACAATCACCATGAATCGCATCACACCAGCTTGGTCAGCGGTGAAGCCGTATTTTGCGATAACATCTTTCTCGATGTCCAGCACGATCGGTGTCAGCAGCATGAGGCGCTTCATCGGATCATCGCCAGCTAGTGTAAGACCGGCTTCGACTCTTGCCAAGTTCTCTGGCTGCTGCAGCGCAGTTACGACGTCACGCAAGGCCTGCTTGCAAGTGGCTTGGTCGAGGCTGATTTCGGCTTGGCCCCCAGCTTCCATTGCTCCTGGATGGATGATGAACTCTTATGAAGACGTAGATCTCGACCTCCTTCACCCAGGCCAGCTCAACAAAACATACACCAAGGCAAAAAATTTAATATGACAGGACAAACGTCTGCATGCACGGAGTTTTTTTCTGGCAATAAATGACGTCAGATCACTCCTACAATCATTTCAGGTGACATCACGATGAGCTCCCCAGTAAAAATGTTTTGCGCTTTTTGTTGTGTGTTTCAAAAAATATTTTTACGTCTTCAAGCTGTACAGGAACGTTGGGAACCCTGTTCTTCTTCGAGCACGAGGCTGGAAGATGGCGGACGAAGGTGAAGGAGATGTTGCTGGTGGCAGCAGAGTTGTGTTTGGGGATGACCTCGACAACAATGACCCCTACGATGAGTACATGGAGATTAAGGTGGGGAGTGGAAGCGATTCGTCGCCCTTGAATGTATCGGCCCTGACTGCAGGGGTAGAAGATGTAGGATTACGCGGAGACGAGCAGGCTCCAGGAGCTGAGGATGGCGTTGTGCCTGAAAGCCCAGAGAGCTCCAGTGCAGCAGAGGTGACCAAATCCGCGGAGCACAAGACTCTGGAGCGTCGTGTATCGAAGGCTGATGAGACAGAGGCGGATGAGGCCTTGCAGGCTCGCAAGAAATCGCAAGCCAATCTTGGGCCTGTCAGGGACCATTCAGAGGAGGACGTTCACCATCCGAACTGGATCTGTCACAGGAAGCATGTGTTCATTTTATCCGAAGCCGGCAAGCCCATCTATTCGCGCTATGGCAATGAGGACAAGCTGGCTACGATCATGGGTGTTATGCAGGCCCTGGTGTCTTTTGTACAGGATGACAAAGACACGCTACGCTGGATGATAGCAGGCGATCATAAGTTTGTGTTTATCTGCAAGCACCACATGGTGTTGGTGACGGTGGCCAACTCTGGCGAGTCCCCGCAGCAGCTAGCCCTGCAGCTGAATTACACGTGCAGCCAGATCCTCAGCGTGCTCACGCTGTCGCAACTGAACCGCATCTTCCAGCAGCGGCGTAACTACGACCTGCGGCGTCTGCTGTCCGGCACGGAGAAGTTCATCGACAACCTGTGGAACCTGATGGATGAAGAGCCGAGCTTCATCCTGGGTGCCGTGCGCTGCTTGCCGCTGCCGAGCTCTGTACGCGACACGATCGGCCACATCCTGCAGGGTGCGCGCGTGCCTGAGCTCGTGTTTGCACTGCTCGTCGTGGACAATCAGCTGGTGACGCTGCTACGCCCGAAGCGCTACAGCCTGCACCCGAGCGACCTTCACTTGATCTTCAATCTGGTGGATGCGTCGATGTCGTTCCGCACCGGCGAATCGTGGATGCCAATTTGCCTGCCCAAGTTTGACAACGCCGGCTACTTGCATGCGCACGTCAGTTACATTGAGGATGAGGAGAGCACGGTGGAGGCGCCAGGCATACAGCTCAAGTCGGGGGCGTCCACGTCGGTGCCGCCGCAGAGTTTCGGCGCCTGCCTGCTGTTGCTGTCGACGGACCGCAACGCGTTCTTTGCGCTGTCCAAGTGCCGCGCCACCGTGGAGCAGAAGATGCTCAAGCACAACTGCATCAAGGCAATCGCCGAGGCGGTGGGACGGCGCGCCGCCTATCGCATCGCTCAGACCGACATCAGCGACCTGCTGCACTTCATGTACAAGTCGAAGGTGACGCATCAGTACACGTCACCGCGCCTAGAGGCGCCCTACATGACCCCGGCCGACCGGCAGCGCCTGATCGCTCTCTACCAGTACCTGCATCACCGCATGCACTCGCAAGCCAGGCCGCTGCGCATCATCTACCACGTCACGCAGCAGGAGGCTGTACTCGGCTGGATTACCAGTCACTTCGAGCTGTACGCCACCTTCAGCCCACTCGTCACCAAACCGGTAGCGATCAGTGCTTTGAACAAGCTCTTGCGCTGGATCAAGCACGAGGAAGATCGCTTGTTCATTCTGAATCCTCAGATGTACTGACGCGTGATCTCAGGTCCCTATTTCCGGAATTCCCTATTCCTATACCGTCAACTTTGGCAATCCATCTGCATCCAGCTAACAACAAGTCACTATTTATATGTGTATACAGGTTTTTCTTCATTTTGATTCGACCAAAACGTGACCCGGGACTTCACCTGCACAGCGATCAAGTCCTCTGTCACAATTCTTCCGTTTTAGCCTGTAGACAAACGTCCTTTTTAACAGTTTGTTAGCACGATTTTCTACTCTCTTTTTCCTTTTTCTTCGATCGACCTGCCTCGCATTTTCACGAATCTGCACGTCCAGGCCACAACGTTCTGGCTGGCTGCCTATTGCACATAGCTCATTTGATTGTCCGTGTTAGCTGTTGTTGGTTACCGTTGCCCCCCTTTCAGCAGTTTGTATCTTATTCTGAATGCGCCGGCGCATTGATGTTTCTATTTCTCGGTATCTCTCCGTGTTGTGTTGTCGTCGTCGTTGTGTCGTCGTCGTTTTGTCGTCTCTGTATGTAATGCTTTTTGTATGGCGTATGTAGTCATTATGTTGTGCAGCGGGAATTATTGCTGCACTTGTCTGGAATACTCTGCAATCAGTTTTGCTTCCTGTCCCTGCTTCTTCGGGTTTGTTTTGTGCTATTTCGACGATTGCAAGCTTGAGAAACATGAGAGTGCGTTGCTTGTCTGTCTTCACTTGCATCTGTCGGTGTGGACGAGTACCAGTCATATGTGTGTACGTGTCTGTCTGTCTGTCTGTCTGTCTGTCTGCCTGTCTGTGCGTGGTGTGTGTGTGCTGTGCGGTGTGTGAGTTCATGCACCTGACTGACAAAGTGACAAGAGGCCGAGGCAGTCATGTGCATGACGTCATCGTTACTGCTGAGCCTAGCCGGCCGGGTCGACCGGTCAAGAGAAAAATTCATAATGATTTTTTCAAAGTTGTTTCCACATGTACAATTAGATTTTATCCTAACTTCTAATCGCTGAGTGGAATCTCTCCTTCATCTTTCACTGCACTCCTTGCCTTCAGAGCGCCTCTGTGTGCCCGTATACGCCAAGTTATCTAGCTTGAAGTACCTATCTCCAGGCTCCCTGTCCAACTGTGTTTCCTGATTGCAGCAACGATACGAATTACTGAGTCTGTTCAAGAGACATTGATTTGTTGGCTTATCTGAGCAATGGACGCAGTGAGAACATTCTACCGCAGTATATTTGGGCCTCGCCTGCTTCAAATATTCAGCTATGCGAGTACCCACCAGGTCAGTGTGTTGCATTATCGTTGATGCGTTGAACAATTTTGACGAAACAAGACTTTTTCCTGAATCCATTCACATTGAAACAGGCTTGATTGCAATCAATACTTCCGAGGTATTTTATGCAAAGTTGGTAGAAATAATTGATGGTGCGTTTTCAAGGAGGCTGCTGTATTCTCCTTGCCTGGACAGAATGGGTGGGGTTTTGCACGACAAATGGCACTCCATCATGATTTCTCAGGCACTGGGCAAATTGGGAGCAAAAGTTTTGATAGGTGCTGGCTAGGGAGTCTTGGTGATGTAGATCACAGTCGTGTTAGGAGACAGCAGTTTATCATAAGTATGGTATGTGAGTGTACTTGGCAAGTAGCTAAAAGAACGCCTGAGATGGAAAGGAATTTGCGAGTGGTTCTGTAAAATGAAAAAAAGATCTCGGCGTCGTTCATGTACTGTCTACACAGCACAGGAGTGGAGCAAGGCTAGTGTAGGAACTGCGTCCCACGATACTAGAATGCACTCTCAGTCTCACAGCTGTCATAGAAAACACATTCTTGCTCACCAGTCTCTCAAACAACAACATCGTCACGTGCGCATGCGTAAAATCCCGCATGCGCACACTGACTCAGAACATAGCGGCGAAGGGTGTCTTTTAACGTAGCGCTGTTTGGGTGCCCCTCATGAGCTAGCTTCAAAAGCGGCTGTTGCAAAGCCGATGGGATAACAACTCGGCTGTCCAAAAGAAGAATTCCTTTTGCGACGGTCAGCTGGCTTCGCATCATGAAGAATGGTTCCTCAGCAGGCAAGATGTCCCGTCATGCACCGGTGAGGACCCGGCGGACTATTGCAGCCAATAATGGATCGTCAGCAGTAGCAGCCTCGAGATCGGCTTCACAAACTGGCGCTTCTGACAAGACCATGCCGACGAATTCGCGCATGGATCTATCCTCCTCTGGTGACGCCTCCGCAGATGCTAGGGGGGGGGGGGGCACGTGACAAAGCGTCGGTAACACACATGGTCTGGCCAGGTGTGAAGCTGAGTTGGTAGTCAAAGGGCAGCAGAGCCAATAGCCATCGTTGAAGACGTGACGGAACTTCATCAAACGACTTCTTGACAATGTGTGCCGTTGGATTTGCGAGCAGGCACGATGGGAGAAACCCACTCTGTTGCCCCATTGACAGGCTCGATTATGTCCGCTTTACATAGCCGCTCCAATTCGGCTGCGATGTCATCTCGAACTGAGAATGCTGGGCGACGAAATGGCACTGCTGGAGGGGTTGCATCTGGATTGACACGGATGTTGACAGGTGCTGCGTTGACAACGTTCGCTGTGTCCGTCTCCACCATCTGCAGCAAGCCTAGCTGGAAAATGATGTCCTGGCTGAACAGTGCCAGTTTCCCCTCGGGGACCACAAAGCAACGGCATGCTGTTTGACGTGAATTCCCCGCCACAGTGATGTCCGCCATTCCGAGAGTGGGGACCTCCGAGCCATCGTACGCACAGAGACGACGGTCGCAAGCACTGTCTGGCGTGACCACGTCGGTGGGGCAGATGGTGCGCATTGCATTTGTGTCTAGTAATCCTGACACCGGCTTGCCATTCACAGACAGGGTAACCAGGAACCGCTCATCATGGGCTGACTTGCTGAGTGGCTTCATCAGGTATATTAAGTCATCCGTTGCGCACATGTTGGCTGACTCTTTCTCCCTGCACGCATTCGCCTGGCCAGGTCGGCTCCCATCCTGACGACGACCACGCCGTGACAAACACACCTTGGAGAAATGTCCCATCTTTCCGCAGTTGCATTTCTTTCCAGCTGCCGGACAGTGGGCCATTCCGGGAGTATGCTGCTCCCCACAATATTTGCAGTTGACTGGTGACGAACTTGAGTGAGTGCTAACACGATTGACGGACGCACCACTGGGAATGGAGTCCTCCGTGGGGCGAAACCCAAACTTCCCCGGCTGGTCGTAGAGCTTGGACTCTGAATAAGAGAGTTCCATGCTGACTCCTTTACGGATGGCAGTCGCCAACGTAAGGTTTGGATCTGCCAACAGCTCCCGACGAATTTCAATATTGGCCAAACCAGCGATAAACTGGTCACGAATCTGCGAGTCCACAATGGAATCATTGGTGGTAGAATCGAACTCGCATGCCTCGACAGTAGTCCTCAGGCCGGCGGCAAATGCGGCGAGGGACTCCGCAGGCTGCTGTTTCCTCATGCGGAACTTATGGCGTTCGAGAAGGCACTGAACGAAGTGTCAGCCTACGAATACAACTTCAGTGCAACAACGTGCCCTTTCTGCTTACACAAAGCAGGCTTATGAATACGTATACAAACTGCCTCAAGGACTTTCAACTGTTGGACATAACGCGCACGATGAATTTGATATTTGAAAATATCAGCTAGAAAAGGTTGTTGATTAATTAGAATTAATCTTTTTGGTTTTACGCTTTTCTGTATGCCTCCTGTTTTCAAACCACTTGCGTATCCTCTGCGAGTCACAGTTCATCTGTTTTGCAATCTTGTCATACCAATCATCTTTTGGATACTGATTGTCGACGCAGCCTTGTTGAAGAATTTGAAGCGCGTTTTTGTCAAAGTGTCTCCTTCCAGTACTACTCTTCTGACAGCTGGTAACAGCGACTTCCTCATCCTCTATCCACTTTAGAATGTGTTCACAGAGAGATTCACGCGGCTGAGAGTTACGATTTTCGAAGTGATGGATTTTTGACCAAGTGTATTGGGTTTTAAATCGAGAGTTCAGTTGCTCGCTGACTACTCGAGTGCTCATATTTCTCTCTAACCGTCTATT